ATCAACCAATCAATCAACCAATCAATCAATTAGCTTGTAAAACAATATTTCCGAGATGTTCAACAGCGCTCCTCAATGAATTTTGAAAACAGATGGGTCTTGAGATCCGCTCTGAACTTCGCAAGTGATGGAGAAGTAGTTAGAGAAGGAGGTAGAGAGTTCCAGAGAAAAGGACCAGATTTAGCAAAAGAGTGTTTAACACGAGTTAAGAAGGAGTGAGAAAAAGAAGACAATCGTAAACCGGAGCGTTTAGGTTCAATTAATATATCTTATAATTACTTAGGAAATAATTTAGATTGGGACTTATACATAAATGTGCAAATTTTAAAAATTATTCTATACCTTATAGGTAGCCAGTGCAAGAGAACAAGATATGGAGATATATGAGAAAAGAGAGGGGCACGAGCAACTAGACGAGCAGCAGAGTTAAAAGCTTTACTTAAAGGATAGAGTGTAGAATCAGGAAGGCCACAGTAGAGCGAGTTACAATAATCAATCCTAGATAATACTAAAGAGGTAATAAGAAGAAAAAGAGTAGGATTGTCAAGAAAAGGGAAAAGTTTTTTTTTTCATTTTACGTAGACGAAAAAAGAAGCAAATAAAGAGAAATTAGTAAGAGAAATGAGAGAGAGAGGAGAGATTGAGAGAGGAGAGAATGAGAGAGAGAGAGAGAGAGAGAGGAGAGAGAGAAAGACAATAAGAAAGTCATTTTAGGATACTTCAAATATCGCCTGAAAATAGTCATTAAAGCAAGATTGAAGGTAAGAATATTTTGACAAATAGGTATAAAAATATTAATAATAAAATAATAATTACTACGACAACGGTAGCAACAACAACAACAACAACAACAACAACAACAACAACAACAACAACAACAATGGGAACATTCTTTCATTTACCGAAAAGATAAAATCCAAGTGAAAATCAATCGAAAATTATTAATCACATATCAGAGTGTAAATAATTAAGATGAAAAATATAATGAACGATATGCTCCTTGATCATCAAGTGCTTGAGAGTAAAAAAATAAATTTAAAATCGGTTAAGTAGTGTTTTTGTCACAATATATGCTATATGACGAGCGAATTACCGCGTTAATCATAATAATAACAACGATAACAGTGATGTTACAGACGTGTGGTCGAGATGAAGACTAATAGTTAGAGATTGTTAAGCTTGTAACTTAATTAGAAGACTGTAAATTCATTTAGGGACGTGAGAATTTCATTGGGAACATTTACAAATCTATATGAAGAAGAAGAGATCCAAGAGAAGAAGAACAAGAAAGAAGAGGTTCCAGAGAAGAGGAACAAGAAAGAAGAGGTTCCAGAGAAGAGGAACAAGAAAGAAGAGGTTCCAGAGAAGAGGAACAAGAAAGAAGAGATCGTGAAATAAGTAGCGGTAAAAGTTGGAGTGGATGTTAAGGTAGAAGTGAGATTCGATGCGAATTCGCAAATGTAATTTTGAATTAA